GTTGTGTGGCAGCGGCTAGGAGGCCTAGTCCTGAAACAGGTCCCCGCGGTGCTAGGTGCTGTACAAACAAGGAACAAACTGCCCCTGCTCCCAAGAGTTCAGAGCCTAGATCCAGAGCAGAAGAGAGAGCTCGCCGCAAGGCGTCCCGCTGCCTTCACTCCAGCAGAACCTGGCCCACGGTACAAGGAATTCCCTGCAGCCCGTTGGGAAGCCCTGCCCCCTACGTGCTGTTATGCAATGACCCACTCCGATTCCAACCAAGCTGCCATCTTGGTTTCAGGACACCCTGGTCGTTCCGGGACTGGGCATCCCAGCAGACCTGGAATAAACCAAATCTCTCTGGTTTTCGGGTCAGATGCTTACGAAAGGCCCGAAAGCCTGAGATCGGCCACTCGACAGCTCTCCTGGGATCCAAGCAAGAGTCCAGGAGCAACTGGGCTGCGCTGGGTTTGAGACACTGCAGGAGGCTAAACAAAGGAAGCCCTGATTCCCCAACGGTGAAAAGCGCCAGGGGAGCAAATGCAATTGCGCTAATGGCCATGAAAGGCCTAATCCCCCCGACGTAGCCTTCTCCAGCCATCCTCCAGCTGCAGCCTCCGGCGCTCCTGGCAAGAGCTACTGATTGGATCTGGGCAGAGCCCCCAGGACAGGCTTTGACTGCTGGGTCCCCAGGGGAGATTTTAACATGGCAGCGGCGCCCCCAGGCGATTGCTAGCCAGCTGTCCCGCCCCACTCAGGAGCCTAGAAGGGGTCTGATTCTCTGCTGCCTTGTGTGCTGAGCTGGGAAAATGCCTCCCATCCAGGGAGTGTTTTGTACCCACATTGCAAAGGCGCAAGGACAAGCAGAGGAGAATTTGGCTGCAGGGGATCCAGACCCAGCTTGCTCTCTGCCACAGCCCTGCTCAACAGAGAGAGAAGCCATGGAACCAGCCCCAGGCCACTCATCTGCCAGCCCCTGTAACTACCTCTCAGCGTGAGGCTCCAGGCAAAGCAGGGGAGCCCGGGCCCCGCTGGGGAGATGCAGGAGGATCCTCGCCATTTCAGATCAGGAGTGCCTGGCTCAGCTACTTTCCCCATCTGTGGTCTCCATTGTCCCGGCTGCCTGTTCGCTGGATTATTTTTAAGCTGACAGCTGAATGTGCCCTTGTGATTCTAACCAGTAAAGGCAAGCCTCGGAAAGAGAGCCCGAGAGAGGGGGCAGCACATGTGCCACCTAGACATTAACCTGCAGCCATTACGACTCCCTCGCCCGCAGCGTCCACCCCAGACACACCAGTCTACCCTTCACAGGGACGTCGGCAGGGCTCCCACACGGCTAGTCTGTGGCACCTGCCCATGGTAACAGCTTGCTAGGAGCTGCATCCAGGAAAGCTCCTGCCCGCCGCTCTCTCTGCTGCCTGTTGTCTCTCACCCCCCTCATCTTCCATTCAGGCCCCCTCACCGCCACCCCCCAGCCAGCAGATGCCAAGAGGCGGGGGGCTGCGGGAGTTCCTTGCCAACAGACCAGACAGCAGCCGGCCAGTGACCAAAGGACCCCATAGCATGAGATCCTTTGCCCCTCACAACGTAAGGGGGCACCCCCAACATGGGCAAGTCCTTCCTGCCAGCCTGCCCTTTACGGCAGGTGGGCCGTTACCCTTAGCCCATCTTTCCGGCTATGTCCCTTGCTGCTGGCCCGTCCTGGGCACAGCCTTCAGACCACAGGTCAGTTATACCAGGGATGACTGTGGCCCAATGTGCCTAGACAGGGACAAAGGGCCAATTCTGCAGCCCTTACTCCTGGTGAGTAACACTTACTCAAAAAAGTAGGCCCACTGACTTGAATACAGCTACATCCATAAGCGCTTCTCTGCATCAGGGCTGCAACATCATAGCCGTAAAGGATTAGAAAATGGTGCCTGTCCGCTCCCCTCGGCCAGTGGGGCTCAGCCGTTCCCACTGCATGGCCCCCCCAGATCACAGCAGAAATGAGGTGCACAGTGCCCTGCTCATCTAGCCACTGGAAAACAGGAAGATGGTTGCGACCCCCTGAAACATTCTGTGACCTTCCTCAGGGCGAGACCCAGGCTGCTGTTCTGTAACACATAGGATCAAACTCGGGGCCTCCTCCGACCCTCGGCCCCTTTCCCCGGAGGAGGGACGAGACCTGCAGGCACCTCTAGAAACGGATCGCGCTGTGGGGAGACGGCTGGTTTCAAACAGGAGTGGGACTCAGCCCATCGAAGGCACGTCAGTTTCTCAGTCAGCGCCTAGTGAAGGCTCGTGCGTCCTCCGACACAGGACTTCGCCCCAGCGCTGGGTTCGGATCGTCACTGAGCGCACAGGGCAGGCTGCCTTTCCAGGGAGCGGAGAAGTCCATTTCCCCCCTGCTCCTTCACAGAGTAGTATCGAGCAGCCTGATGTTTCCAGAGATGTAGCCCAGCCCCATGGCAGGTGCCCAGCGCCCCCCAGCAGAGCAGGCATGGTTAGAGACACAGGCAGGAGCGAAGGCCAGGCCCAGGGAAGAACAAAACCTGCCGCTGGACAAAGCGATGCCTCCCCCACCAAGTATTGGGGATGCCTCCCAATACCAACCGGATGCTGGGAGCAGGGCCGGCTTTCGCTCGCAGCCGTAGCAGGTGCGGCAAAGTGTCGAGTGAGTTTGCCCGTGGGCAGCTGTGGCGTGGGAGGAGCGGACGTGGCTGGAGCAGCAGAACCCCTGGGTGGGGCATTACGTGGCATGCGCCCAGCGTGCTCCTGCTGCTGGCCCTAGCAACCTCTATCTGCTGAACATGCTGCGGGCTTCATTTCCTCTCTCTCTTCAGTCCCTTCCCCTCGCTGCAGTTTGACAGAAAGAACCAGAGGACAAAACACTCAGGAGGCCCTTTGGGCTAGTAAGGGCCTGGACTGGAACCTCGCCGTGCTGGGTTCTGCTCCTGACTCTGCCCCTGACCAGCAGCATGGCCTTGAGCAAGTCTCTTCTCTGTGCTCCGGTTTCGCCCCGTGTCTGTTTAGACTGTAAGCGCTCTGGGGCAGGGACCGTCTCCAGGTAAACATTTGTACAGCACCCAGCCCAGTGAGGCCCACCCGTCGCTGGGGTCTCTAGGTGCTATTGGAATAAACACACGTCCCACCTTGAGCATCAGGAAAGGCCAAGTTCAATACCTGGCCTGTCACCCTTCCCCCGTGCCCCTTCCTTCTCTGGCCCTGGAGGAAGCCAATTTTTCCCCTTCTTTTTATTTTAACTGAGGACAGAAGCAGTTGGGTGGCTGGGTCCCACTCCCTAATACTGCTCCGCTGAAATTCACCATGAGATGTGCAGATCTCTGGTGACGGGAGTCACCCGCAGTCCCCCAGCAAGGGCAATGAAAGAAGCCCCACACAGATTGATGTCTGACTCCCCAAAGGGCGGGGGGGGGGGCAATTGCTTCCTGTTGGCACATCCCTCGCACCAGACTCTTTCAGTGTTACACAGGTCTCAGTTTTGCTCTGTACGTACGTAACAGCAGCAACTTGAACGTCTTACAGCCCCTGTTCTAGGAGGCTCCCAGCACATAACTAATTCAGAGGCCACGTGAAGCTGGTAAATATTATCTGCGTTTTACAGGTGGAGAAACTGAGGCATGGAGGAGGAGAATGATTTGCTCAGGGTCACATAGCAACGAGTCCTGACATCCCCAGCCCCTTGCACTAAATCACTCAACTAGGCTGGCCCAATGTTGTGTATAAACAACCCACATGAAAACTAATCACAGCAACGATTTGTACAAGCCGGTCATCTCAATGCTGGGCACAAAGCCATCACTGACTCACTCACTACCGGCTGGCAGATCCCTGGGTTCACAAACACAGAGAAACCTTAACTCCCTCCCTTTATGTTCCTCACCCTGCGGTCATTCATTTGCCTCTCTCGTTCTGTCTGCTTTGCATTTTGTCCCCCATTGTGAGCCGACTCGACAGCCCTCAGAAGGGACGTCGGATGCACGACCGTCCAAGCACACAGTGAACTTACAAACAGCCTCTTAGCTCTGTTCTGGGCACGCACTAGTTACTCCGTCAGCAGGTTAAGAGAGGAGGAAGCAACGGCTCACCAAGGAAATGCTGGTGGAACCCCAAACTCTGGGGTCCCTTTGTCCACTCTTTTCCCAGCTCCCCACAACCCTCCACACTTCACCCACTTTCCTTCCCAACCCCATATATTGATTGTGGGCCACACTCAGGCAAAACGCACATTAACGTCAATAAACCCAGGATCTGCTCCATTCTCGTTTATCACTCACACTGCTAAGCCGGAGTATCTGGTCACCATTCACTGAGAAGATATGAACCATGACATAGGGTAGAGAATGACTTCCACTACCCCCATCCCACAAACCTCAACAGAGAGAAGACCAAGCAGATAACCCGCCACGCAGAGTCCAACACCAAAACCAGAGGGCCAGAGACCCTTCGGGACTTTTCAGATCAATGGTCAAGACCGTGGTGGTGACTAGCAGAAGAGGCAGGACCAGCCTTAGCAGAGACAAGGGACGGCCCTCCCTGCTGAAGTTCTGGGGAGGGGGTATCATGAAATACACCCCAGGAGATTAACCCTGCAGGCGCCTTACCCCAAAGCAGAGATAGGAGCGGAGAAACAAACCCAGTCACCTCCCCCATACTCCTGGCAAAACTTGGGGCAGAAGGGTAAAGTCCCAGGAGAGAGAGACCCAGGGGAACAGAAGCTAGCAGACCTCCACCCAAGCTGGTGTCTTTGCCCCAGGTGCCATGTTCACGGGCATCACTCGTTAGTCCCAAGTCCTAATCATGGCACACAGCAATACTTAGCCTCCAGTGACCCCTCTACTTCTTAGCACCCATCCACTAGGGGGTTAGGAAACATGCCCCCCCAAATCATTCACACACCCCCCATCAGACAGTGAACTAAGGCTACAAGGACTGGATCCCCCCTCCCCAGGTTCCCCCACTCCGGGGTCAAAGGGGATCTAGGTGTGGTGACCAGGGCGCGCCGACGCATCTCTCACCATGTGGCGTGTCTCCAGCTGAGGGTGCGAGCGGCGTTTCTGCCTAGGGAGGGCGGCCCCGGCACGGTACCTATGCGCCAGGTCGGCATTGTCATTCCGCAGGCTGGTCAACCAGATGCAGCGGGGCTCAGGTGAGCTGCAGTCCACACCGATGGGCTGCTCAAACCGCCAGCCCTTCCCCGCCCGCTCCACACTCCACAGGGCCTTGCCCACCACCGACATGTTCCTCGGCGCAGCCAGAGGACGACGGGGTCCCCGCAGTCCCCTATGGGGTGCCCTGTCCCCGCTGCCCACGCCTTCTTCCACCATCCAGCAAAGGGGAAGGAGAGATTCTCCCTGGAAAGTCACTGACGGGGCGGAAGGAGTGAACTAAAGATTCTTTTGGGAGAGGCAAGTGAGCTGAATGGATCTCAGTCCCTGGCGCAGCTGGTGCCCATCCCCTGTAGATCCATCGGTGGAGAGGGAACAGCAGAGCTTGCTCCCTGCTTCCCTCGGCTAGCCCCTAAACCTCAGCAGACTCTGGTGTAAAAACCCTCCCTGGCTGCCAGGCGGAGTCAGCTCGCTCGTCTGGTGTATCACAGATGAATGTTGATCGCTCCAGTCCTAGGCATGCCAGATACACGCACCCCCTCAGGACGCTGACCTGAACGCACACACCCCCACCCCCACCGAGGGGAAGGCACTGAAACCCCCTGACGCCGGAAAGCCAGCTTCCAGCCGCACTGGGAACCAGCAGAGGCTGAGTTGAGGAGGCAGGAGCAGGCGGGCGGACGGACAGACAGACAGCGAGAGAGAATGCAGACGCTCTGCCTGCAGCTGCTCCGGGCTATCAGGCCACCCAGTATCACCCCGCCCTCCCACCCCCTCTGGCGCTGCCTGGCTGGGCGACCCAGCCCCCTCCAGCTGACACAAGCGCAGGGGGGTTGGAAGTTTCACTTTGCTGATATTTTTTTTTAAATCCTCCGGCTTCCTCCTCTCCCTCCCTCCTGGCCTCTTCCTTCCTTCCTCAACTCGCTTCCCAGCCTGGCAGCCCTGCGCCTGCCAAGAGAAGGTGGGGGGGGGGGGGGGGGGGGGGGGAGGGAGTGCATTCTAGTGACTAGAGCAAGAGTCCGGACTCCTGGGTTCTCTTCCTGGAGCCGGCGGCTGACACGGGGCTGATTCACCAGCCCTGCTCCGTGCATCACCGTTTCCCCAGTTACGAAACGGGGTGATGAGCCCGACCCACCTCTGCCAAGTGCATTGGGGTCCTTGAATGAAAAGAGGCATTGGGAAGTGGCCGCAAGGCAGGCCAGAGCTGGGGAGCACAGCATGAGGTGTCACCCCAGGATACACCCAGGGGGGATTCTCAGAGCCGGGCAGCTCCCATCTTTACTTTCTCACTGTCTTCCCTTCTTGTTCTCTCTCTGAGCTGAACATGTGCCCAGAGACTGGCTGGCCAGTGCTGGGGAACCAGGCCTGGGATTCCCCCATGCAACGGCCCCCAAGACAATGCCTCACCCACTAGGGACCCCTCTAGGGCTGGTTCAGTCATCATAGCCCATTTGATCTTTGACCCCCGTGCTAAGCTGACCCCTTTGTGGTGGCACTGAGCACCCATTTTAACGATGACGTGGAGACTTGCCCATTAGCAATCGGCCTGGGAATGTTCCAAATCCTACCACTCTCAACAGCCACCAAACGAGAATGACTTTTGGTCACTTTCAGCCTCAGACGGGTTCAAACCGGGGACCTCAAGGATTCTGATTAGATCCAGGACAGCCATTTGGACTCACAAGGCAGTGAGAACACAATGCTGGCACACCGGTGTCGCTGGAACACACACAGACGTAATCGCTCCCAGGGAGATGTGTGGACAGGGAAGGGAATCCTTCCCAGGGCATCCTGGGTCAATATTTGTACAGTACCTTGCGTGTGTGCTCAGTGCTTCTGAGACATGGTCCCTACCCTAAAGAGCTGAGATGAGTGATGGAAACTGACCAGGGTGGCCAGAGGGAGAGGTGGGCAGATGGGTTGAGCAGAGAGAGATCAGGCAGTCCCGTAATATGATGAGGCTTTGAGAGAGGAGGAGATGACACCATAGCAGATATCTGCAGCAGAGAGGCAAAGAGAAGCTGGTAGTGTGGCTAGACTGGTACTCAGGACCCCTGGGTTCTATTCCCAGCTCTGCCACTGACCTCAGGCAAGTTACTCTCCGTGCCTCAGTTTCCCCAATTACCCTGAGCCTGTTTGGTCCATTTAACCAGTGAACTCTTGCTGGCAGGGACCGCCTCTGCCTCTGTGGTTAACAACTCTGACTACTGTAATGTAGTCCCTGCTGTGCTGGAGGAGGGAGGTCAGCCCAGGAGGAGGGGGCAGCAGGGAAAACAGGCGACAGTTCGCAAGGGGGCAGGAGTGGGCAGGGTGTGAGGCCATGGGATCAGGGCCAGGACAGGGGAAGGGGAAGGACCAGGATGAAGGAGAGGACAAAGGGGCTGATTTGAAGGGACGAGCAGACAGGATGGGTGTGTGTGCGAGACACACCCTAAGATCATTTCACTTGCAGCACACTGGAAAGAGTGAGGGGCAGGCAGGCTGGGGGAAGAAGGATGGCCTAGTAGATACAACGCTGCCCTGGGACTCAGGAAACCTGGATCCAATTCCCAGCCACAGACTCCCTGGATGAGCCACGTAAGCCACTGTGGGCCTCAGTTCCCCATCTGTAAAATGGGACTACCAGCTCCCAGGGGCAAGGCGCTCGGATACCATAGCGCTGGGGGCCAGATAAGGACCTGGACAGAGACCATCTGTAACATGATGCTGCCACGGGACCAGCAGACACACCCTGACTGCAGCCCTGTCCTGTTCTGCCATGGGGCTGGCCTGCCAGGTGCTTCCCCGACATGCACCAAACCCGTGGGCCCCTCCAGGGCTCCGGCAAGGCTAGGGCGCAGCTACAGTCCCATCTCTGCGAGAACCCACAGCCAGCGGGGCCTGGGCCCCAGCGGGGGGGGAAGGGGGGAGCCTCACCCCAGTGGGCATTAACAGGAAGGGAAAAGGAAGTGGCACTGCCCAGGCCACGCGGGTGCTGATCACCCAGCCCCCAACGGCACCAATGCCCATGCACATGGGCTCCACCTAACTGGGGCACGGAGCTGGCGCTTGCAAACACAAGGCGGGGGGTCCAGCCGCCTGCCGCGGGCAGGATCGGACAGAAGCCCAGGCCGTTTCCATGGCAACGTTTGTTCCTCTCATTTCCTGTTTGCCAGTTTTTAACCGGACTTTGCCTTGGTGGGAGCCGACAAGGCCAGGGAGCGAGGCGGGGAGCCAAGGGAGAGAGGTCAGCGACTGGTGCAAGGCAGAAGGGAAGGAGCGCTGTGCCCATCCCAGGGCAGGGACCCGGGCCAGAGTGGGCCAGGGGTCCCAGGAAGCCAGGGCTGCCCCACCGCTAGGACGGGGCAAAGGAGAGTGGCTGAGGGGGTCAGAGGCAAACCCAGCCCATTGTGGGGCAGAGGGGGCTCCAGGGTTGAAAAGTGGGTGGCTCCTCCCAGCGTGGGGCTATGGGAGGAGAGGGGCTAAAAGTGGGGAACTCCCACTCTGCAGTCCTCCTGCCAGGGCTGGGCGGGTGAAAGGGGCAGGGGGCATTTGGCAGTGATCTTCCCTCCTCCCCCCACCTCCGAGGGAGAGAGAAGGCTGAGCAGACTCGCAGAGGGGCCAGGAGGGTGGGGCAGATCTCGGGCAAGCATCTGGCTTTGGTGCCGAGGGTCCTGCTCCTCCCATTGGGTCGGCACCATGCAGGATGGGCCCCCTTGCCTATGGCCAGGCCCCGCATAAGCAGGTCCCACGGAGCATTCTTGCAATTCTAGTGTCTGAGGACAACCATGTGAGGCCGCTCCGGGGAAATGCCAATCATTGTTCGGATTGTATCCCTCTGCCTCCAGGGGCCAGGGACTCAGCTGCCAGCAGGCACTGCCTCTTCCACCTCTCTGGGCTCGCTCCATTCGCCTCGTCCTCATCAGAGCAATGCCAGCCAACGCCACAAGAACCCTCCGCAGCTAGGTGGGTGAGGAATCAGCTGCCCCCACCAGACTGTTACCAACACCCCCAGCCATTGGGGTATCAACCTAACAGAAGCTAAAGCAGCGACCAGCCAATCAGATTCATCTCACTTGGGGGCACAGGTGCCTGCTGGGATCTGAGTCACCCCTACAATGCAGGTAGCAATTTAAATAACGGCCTGGGTTGTTGGCTGTAAGCAATGATCGACCTCCCCTGCCCCAGCAGATCCCTTGGTGACAAGCGCATTGGGGACAGAACGGGTGCAGTGTGGTCCGCCCAACAGAGCAAGGGCGAGAATCAGAAAACGAGAGAGGGCGCACGAGCGCATGGTGGACGTGGAAGGTGAGCATGCCCTGGACAGGAGAGAGACGGGGCACATGTGCTGGATGGGAGAGAGAAAGAGCTGTCGTGAGCACGCCCCATCAGATGGATGGGATCAAGGGGGAGCGATCGGAGGAGGGACATAAGAACACAAGAATGGCCACGCTGGGTCAGACCAATGGTCCAGCTAGCCCAGTGTCCTGTCTATAACAGTGGCCAATGCCAGGTGCTTCAGAGAGAATGAACAGAACAAGTCTCTTGTCATCCATTCCCAGCTTCTGACAGTTGGAGGTTCAGGGACACCCAGAGCATGGGGTTGTGTCCCTGACCATTTTGGCTAATAGCTATTGATGGACCTGTCCTCCAGGAACTCATCTAGTTCTTTTTGGAACCCAGTTATTCTTTTGATCTTCACAATGAGTGCCGCAGGGAAGTGTGAAGAAGTACTTCCTTTTGTTTGCTTCAAACCTGCTGCCTATTAATTTCACTGGGTGACCCCGGTTCTTGTACTATGTGAGGGGATAAATAACGCTTCCTTATTCCCTTTCTCCACCCCATTCATGATTTTATAGACCTCTATCATATTCCCCCTTAGTCATCTCTTTTCTACGCAGAACAGTCCCAGTCTTATTAATCTCTCCTCATACAGACGCTGTCCCTGACCTTAATCATTTTCACTGTCCTTCTCTGTACTTTTCCAACCCTAGTACATCTTTTGTGAGATGCACTATTCAAGGTGTGGGCGTACCATGGATCTACACAGTAGCATCATGATATGGACTGTCTTATTATCCATCCCTTTAATAATGGTTCCTAATATTCTGTTCGCTTTTTGGACTGCTGCTGCACATTGAGCAAACATTTTCAGCGAACTATCCACGGTGACTCCAAGATCTCTTTCTCAAGTGGTAACAGCTAATTTAGACCCCAACATTTAATATGTATAATTGGGATTATGTTTTCCAATGTGCATTCCTTTGCATTTATAAACACTGAATTTCATCTGCCCTTTTGTTGCCCCGTCACTCAGTTTTATGAGATCCCTTTGTAACGCCTCACAGTCAGCTCTGGATTTATCCTGAGTAATTTTATATCGTCTGCAAACTTTGTCACCTCACTGTTCACCCCTTTTTCCAGATCATTTGTAAATATGCTGAGTGGTACTGCTCCCAGTTCAGATCCTGGGGGACCCCATTATTTACCTCTCTCCATTATGAAAACTGACAATCTATCCCTACCCTTTGTTTCCTGTCCTTTAACCAGTGACTGATCCATGAGAGCACCTTCCCTCTTATCCCATGACTCCTTAATTTGCTTAAGAGCCTTTGGTGAGGGACCTTGTCAAAGGCTTTCTGAAAGTCTAAGTACACTATATCCACTGGATCACCTTTAGCCACTGTTGTTGACCGACTCAGAGAATTCTAATAGATTGGTGAGGCATGATTTCCC